ATCTAAGGGGAATGACAAAATCAGAAAAGAATGCAACTTGTTTTGCAAACCCTTAACTATCACAGTCCCAGAGTGAAAGGTGATGGCCTTCAAGTATTAAATGCCTAATGGCTAAAAGAAACACACCCCTCTAATGAGCTACGGTAAACGACAGTAAGCAGAAACATTCATCCTTTACTTTCTATTTTTAAAACATTAAATACCAACCTTGATTCTCTTCAAGCTAGATACAGGCTTAAAGGACCTGTTGAAAAAGAAGTATACAGGTATTTATGACAAATGCATACAGTAGCGGGGAGATATAAAAATATCGGAAAATCACAATTAACCTTTCGTTAGTGGATCGCTAGTCATTGTGACAGGTAGAATGTTTCACTGTTTAGTGTAAATGAGAAAAAAAATACCCCAAAACCAAGCTAATTTTATCGCTATTTCAATTTTGATTTCATGACACAAGCTATTCTAGTTAATCTGGCAAATTAAAACTTTCTGCTTGAAGGGTGGGGTTTTCCAATCTTACTTTTAAGAACCGAGAAAAACCCTCTCGGGGCAAACCTTCCGCCTTATCTTATGAGTGAGCCACAGCTGTGATGCTATGTGAGCATGTGAGATAGGCAAACTGCTGTCACCAGCAGTCAGACAGATACACAGAATCGCTCGTGGACACTCGGAGCCATAAAGGCAGCATGAAAAAGCCATCGGGGACAGGTACAGGCCACCACTCTACCCGATGGGCTTCAATAAGGAAACCTCAGCGGCTGCCAACAAGAAGGCTGGCTGGGCTTTCAGAAGACAGGCTTACACTAAGAGGGCTGTAGAGATGTTAACACATATTCCAGGGCTCTTTTTTTTTTTTCTTTTTCCTTTGAAAAATTCACACATTCACTCAAGCTTTTATGAAGTAACGGAAGATGGCATCCTCCTCTCCTCCTCTCAGCCCACCTCAAGATGGCACAGTATTAAGAAACAAATATGCCAACCCCGTGGTCCACAGGATCGGGGGACCATCTGTCATTTGGAACCACAGTGTAGGAAGAAAAGTGGCTGACTGCAGCCACGTCACAAATGGGAACCACTGGCTCTGAATCTCAACTTTGGCCAGGCACGGTTCAGTGGGAGAGGCACTCCACCTCTCCCTCATTTGAAATAATGGAAAGAGTCTACTGGAGCTGGTGACAGGAACCTTACTTGTCACCATGTGACACTAGGGGGCAAACATGAATGAGGAAGCAAACAGACCTGCCATGTTTGCAAGAAGCAGTGTGTAGTTGGTGTAGGGTAAAGCAGATTCAGCAATGTGGCAGTACTGCAGCTGCTGTTATCTTTTAGTGAGGGAGTGAAGGCTAAAGAAGGAAAGTCTAACACAGCTCACCTATCCCTATTCTTAGAAAAATCCATGCCAGCCTGGAGCCATGCCCTGACAGCACCTCACGCAAGCTTCCAGCAGAGCTGGCCCAGGAAGAACTAATTTCATTAGCATATAAGTGATCATCAAGGGGACCCAGCAGGGAGCCCCTATGAAGATATTACAATAAAAAGACAAGTTGTTCTTTGACAGAAAATATCATTAAGATAACAAATCATCCCTAAATGAATGTATGCATTAAAATGTGTCAATGAACATGGCCTTACAAGTTTACGAGCTAGGAAAATAGATCAATGCAAATATGAAAACAGAGAACAACAGACAGGAAAATAAAAGTAGAAACACCGAAAGAGGAAATAAGATAATAGAAACATTATATAATAGGTGATGAGAGTGAGGGGACCAGCAGAGATTTCTGTACATCACTGGTGGGAAAGAGACTTGGAATAATCTTTATGGAGGACTATTGATAAAGGATACTAAAACGACACGCTCCTTGGTCTAACAATCTTAATTTCAATGGCGTGTTACATAACATGTATAAATACAGCCTCTGAAGTGTTGTTTGTGGTACCACGACATTTCATCAATCGAAATATTGATTAAGTATATTATGGTACAACTGCTTGATGGAAAGTCAGCTGTGAAAAAGAATGAAGGAAGCAGAAATCTCTGCTGTTAATTCTCTCCAAGGCAAGACTTGAAGTGAAAAAGCAAAGAAAAAGTATGCGTGACATCTATCATTGATTTATAAGATTCCTGAGCGAGTGGAATGTATTTATGAATTCTACAAAAGGAAACACAGCTATGCCTGAGAATAGAGCTGGGTAAATAAAGTCTAAGGTAGGGTAGTGGCATGTCATTGGCATATTTTTTGTACCGTGTTTGTGTATCAGCGATCTTAAAATGAAATGCTGCTTTTTTAAACAATCAACAAAAACATATGTTGCCATGTCACAAGCCTGACTCCATTTGGATCTCCAGTGACATCAAGTTAGAAAACATAAAGGCTATCATTAAATTCAAGACATCCATGTGAAAGCCTGGCTGAACACCCAGATGCAAATATTTGCCATCGGAGGCACAGCACTTACAGTTTGGCATCTTCTCTGTAATCATCCAGCCCTTCGTCGTATGATTTTGATCTTTCCGTCTTTGAGCTGGGCTGGCCATCCAGGCTGGGAGGTCCGACAGATTCTGTAATTCAAAGTCAACATTCAGACATTGACAAGTGCGCTCCAGGAGCTTCTGATAATGGGAAAATTGTAACAGTCAGCCACACCACTCCAAACCGAATCCTGGGGGTGTGCTGTGGCTTACAGGGCCGTTCCTTTCACCGTACCGTGGTCATGTGAGAGCTGGCGTCGGATTAAAGGCGCTGAAGTGGTGAGGCTGGGAAGAACCGTTGCTATAGAAGGGACTTGAGAGGCAGAAGCTGAGATGACAGCAGAAGCAGGGATATGTGCAAGATCATGATCAATGCTGGGGCTAGTTGGTTCATCTGCAAGGTGGGATGAAAAATAAAGACTGGAATGTTAAATGGCCATGGTAAAATTAATAGCTAATCATCATCATTAAAGTCCGGTCAAGATTTTGACCTTGAACCCTGAAGGGAACATTTGGTCAGTTAAAACTCTTCATACGTGGTTATTACTCTAATCATTACATATGGTATGAGAAATTAAATTATATGCATCTTTGACCAGTCAATTCATTCCTTCACTAATTGATGCGATACCAAAATGTATAGAGGTTCAGAACCGAATCCCATCAAGTCCAAACACTCATATGCCACCCCGAGAGAAATAATTTTCAACTTAAAAGAAATCACAGATCAACATTCCAGGAAGCTAAGTAAGGTGATTTGGCTGAAGCTTGGCTTTCAAAGTACCAATTCCTCAAACTTACTCCCACCTCCCACACTTTTCAATTTTTATAGAAAACCAAGAGAGTAGTCTGTAAGTTGCCAGAAGAAGTAAATAGGAGGGAACTTCAAAAAGTTCCAGTAAAAATGGAATTAAAAGGTAATGGAAGCTTCCCACAAACGTTTCCGAAGCTTCCTTGTAGGAACAAGGGTTGCTGCCAGTCTGGTTGGCACTTCTGTGCAAATCAGACACACAGACCCAGTTTCCCGACCCAGCCCCTTCATTCACCAGGAGCAGGCCCCACGGCCCTTGAACAGACGTCCTTGTGCCCTTACAGAGAACATAGATTTGTTAGATTTATGAAGTTTCAGGTTCTCAAAAGCTTTCCATTCTGTCAAAGGCAGGGATGCATATGCATGAGTAACAGCAATAGTTAACAAACTAACAGTTTTTCGCAACAAAGATTTTACATATACTATTACACTCAATACACAGGAAATCCCATGAAGCAAGTCCTATTTTATAGCTGAGGAGAAATCAAGAAGACAGACAGATTAATTCATTTACAGCAAGTGAGGGGGAATCTTTTTTGGGTGCCAAAGGTCATTTGGATATTTATATCATTCTCGGGCCATACAGGGCAGGCATTTAATGAAGTCCTCCCTAATGTGATCGTTACTTGTCAGGCTGCTAACTGCAAGGTCAGCAGTTCAAAACCACCAGACACTTGCAGATGCATAGCTCCCCCGACTTCCTACTCCCCCGGAGTTTAAGTTAAAAAAAAAAAAGCCCATCTATAGGCAACTGGCCACCCCCTTACAGAAGGGTCGCAGGGAGGAGACAAGCCAGTCAGGGTACAGGGTAGCAACGATGAAGCATACAACTTTCCTCTAGTTCTTAAATGCTTCCTCCCCACCCCACTATCATGATCCCAATTCTACCTTACAAATCCAGTTAGACCAGAGCATGTACACTGGTCCAGATAGGAACTGGAAAAACAGGGAATCCAGGACAGATCATCCCTTCAGGACCAGTGGTGAGAGTGGTGATACCGGGAGGGTGGAAGAAAGGTGGGGTAGAAAGGGGGAACTGATTACAAGGATCTACATATAACCTCCTCCTCCCTGAGGGATGGACAGCAGAAATGTGGGGGAAGAAGGCAGAGAGTGTAAGATATGACAAAGTAATAATGATTTATAAATTATCAAGGATTCATGAGGGAGGGGGAAGCGGGGAGGGAGGGGGAAAATGAGGAGCTGACATCAAGCGCTCAAGTAGAAAGTAAATGTTTAGAGAATCATGATGGCAACAAATGTACAAATGTGCTTGACACCGTGTATTGTATGTATGGATTGTGATAAGAGTTGTATGAGCCCCCAATAAGATGATTTTAAACAAACAAACAAAAAATAGAGATTGTGTCCTCTTAGATCTTATTTCTCCCAGCAGAGTAACTACACCTCCGAGGAGGTGGTCGTGAGGGGTACAATCGTGCGTCTACGAGATGCTCAGGGATAAATCTTCCCAAAGAATGAATGGTATGCCTTGCTGAGTTATCAAAGGCATCTTGATATATGCTTATGTAAAATAAAATAGCATGAAGTAGACTTCAAAATGTACAAGGATTAAGCACTCAACAAGATTTCAAAGGTAATTTTCGGATGGTCCTAGAGACTCCTATATTGGAGTCTCCTGGATAGGGGAAGTGGTTAAGCACTTGACGAGGAACCCAAGAGTTGGTGGTTCAAACCCACTGACAGGTACCTGGAAGACAGGCCAGCTGACCTGCTTTGGAAAGGCCGTGGTCTTGAGAACCCTACTGAGCACCGTTTACGTAACACACGCACAGTCACCACGAGTCGGCATGTTACTGACAGCCAACTCCCACAGCAGATTTTCTGAGGGTGTTCATTCAATCCCTTTTGACTTCGTAGTCTTTGGAGAATTTTGAAAGATACTGAATTTAAATAATTTATGAACTGCATTGCTAATCACAAGGTCCTTAGTTCTGATGGAGAAAGAGGACGCTGCCTGCCCCTGTAACGATTCACAGTCTTGGAAACCCAAAGGGGCAGTTTTATTCTGTCCTCTAAAGTAGCTGGGAGGCAGAATCAACTGCTAGGGCTCAGTATACGTTTGCAAAAAGGGGGTGAATATCTATGAGTGCTACTTGCTCTAAGCAGAAGACGAGAGCGGAATGCTGTGCTTACACACTGCAGTAAGTTCTGCACCCTTTGTAATAAAGATCTCTTAAAGGGAGAAAAGGGCAGACTACATGAAAAGAAACGCACGCATTTAAATCACCCCATAGTTTCTGGATTATACCCATGAATTAAATTCTATATTCTCAGTGCAAATATGAAAACTTTGCTATTGTTTTAAAATTGCTGCTTTGGTTGTAATGATTAATTAGAATGGAAAAACAAGAATAAGACAACCTAATTTTTACATCTGCTTTAATTATTGCTAGTATGAAGATTATATAACAAACAAGGAAGATTCAGGCTTATTGCATTTTCTGGTATAAGAAAATAGACATTTAGTAGTCCAAAGAGAAAATGAAAATTTTCATTCTTTTAACTATTCAAAATCATTGTGCTGTCAAATTGTGAAGTAATTTCAAGACTTATAAACAAACTTATAAACAAAATCAATGATCTTTGTCCTAGGCATGTCACATAGTACATTAAAACATTAAGTAATGTTCGTAGGCTATGTTTGTAAATTACATTATCAAGTGACAAATCATTTACTGGAAACTCAATTAAATAATCAAAGAATTAATGTAAGAATTGTAGACTCATGGATTGAA